ATTGTTGTAATACCAAGAGTACTAACAATCATGATGGTTCAGGTCGGTGGCGATGATGAGAAGGTTGATTGTGGGCCCTCATGATATCTCCCGAAATCTTGCGGTGATACAAGGCGGGGTTCCGGAATTCGCGGGACCTTTTTGCGCAACGGCGCGGGATGTTGAAAATCAATGGTCTTTACGTCGGGGTTGCTCGGTGCCCCGTTGTAACAATCCCAGCAGCCTTCTGGGCGTGAGTGGTTTAGCGCGTTTTCTCTTCTCTCCTCCCCCAGGCGACCGGCAGCCAACCAGGACCAATGCGGACCCCTCCAGGATTCCTGTCAACAAAAATCAATATGAAGTCCATGTTGGGGCAAGATATTGGGTCATGATCGGGAGGGCGCGAGCACTTTGTATGCTTTTGTTCCCAGGGACGGCGGGAATGCCCGCATGTTGCCTGCTGCGCGCAGGGCCAGTATATCTGCCAAAAGCGATACATAATACACTTCGAGGCTACATCTGGATCATGCGCGGGGACCCCGCGATCAGTGTGCATTGGTTTTAGACTGGGACGGCGGGGGTGATGGCAGATTGCCTGCTGTGAGCAGGCCCATCAGACACTATGATGATCACCCCTCCGCGATTGCGCACTGGTTTTCGACTAGGGTGGTGGAGGCCGACACGTTTCCCGATGTGTATTGCCACGTGCGCGGGCGCACCTGGCACACTCTGCGCGTGCTCTGGACGTGGCGCACATGGCGCTGTTGGAGCATGCAGCACACATGGCACACGTGGATCACGTGGCGCATCTGGCGCACCAGGCGTGCCTGGCACGTTTGGATCGAAGGAATACGTGACGCACCTGGCGCGCGTGGCGCGCGTGGCACGCGTGGCGCTGCTCTCCCCAGCGTTGCGCACATGGGGTCTGTCTTGGTTCTCATTAGCTGCCCCTCCAAAGACGGCCGCTGAACATGCTGCGGCCCGGGTGCTACTTATGTTTTCGGAGGGCGGGTGGGAGTGAGCGAGAGACGACATGTGGGCCGGGAGGGTGTCTTGACTCCTTCCCCGACCCCCCTCCCTTTGGACCTGGACGGGGCGCCCCGCGACCCATTGGAGCGTTCAAGATGGCCATGATGGCTCCGAGAGGACCTCAGAGAGCCCAAGATGGCCTCCAAGACGGCTCAAGACAATTCAAGATTGCCCAAGATGGTTTCCAACATGTTCCTAGAGGCTCGCTGACCGCCTTCAAGACGGTTCCAAGTGGCCTCGGAGCACCCCCAAGAGAGCCCCAAAGAGGCCAAAATCCGTCCAACACCTAGCAAAAATCCATGTGTGTTGCTTTCTTGCCTTTTCGCTTCCGATGGCCTTCCGAAACCTCAAGATAGCTCCATATTGGCCCAAGAGAGCACCAAGAGAGGCCCCAGAAGGCCCCAGGACGGCCCCAAGAGCGCCCACGAGCTTTCCAAGAGCGCTCCAAGAGGACCCGAAGAGGCGATTTGAGTGGCGCTAGAGAGGCGCCTGTAATTAAGGATCTCCCCTTCTTTGATCGATGTCCTACAAGGTGGCCCCAAGAGGGCCCTCCAGGGCTCCCAAGAGAGCCCCAAGAGGGCCCCGACAGGCCCCCAAGGGATACCTAAACTGCCCCAAGAGGCCTCAAGATGCACCCTTCAACGGCACCCAAGACTCCCCAAAGGGACCCCGAGACCGCCAAGAGGCATCCAAGACGGCATAAGAGGCCTCCAACGAAGCTCCCGGGCATCCAAGAGGCCTCTGGCCTTCAGTTCGCCCTCCTCCTCCTCCTCCTCCTCCTCCTCCTCCTCCTCCTGCTCGTGCTCCTGGCTCTCATCTGCCTATTCCTCCTCCTATCTCCTGTTCCTCATCCTCTTCCTCCTCCTGCTCCATCTTCTCTTCCATCCTCCTCCTCACTTCACAGATAACGATTGCCCCTTTATATTCCTCCTGCACTTCCCTGGCCACCCCAAGCCTGTTGAGCATCGTTTCTGGATGGGCTGGTGGGGATGCGCGACGCGTCAAGAGTTGAATCCAGCTGAGTGGGTACGATCCCAGATCCCCTGATCCCGAGACCGAGCGCACCCGCCCTCTTGTGTGGACTCTTGAAACGGAGGGCGCGGGAGGGCGGTGCCAAGTGCCTTCAGGGACCTCCAGAAACGATTGCCTCTCGTGCGCGCGGGTGGGCTCCGGGGGCTGCCCCAGAAACCGCCGCGAATTGCTGCGCGGGCGCAGCGCTCGCGCCCCACGGCCTGCGTGAGCTTCTGAAGCTGAACACCAGAACGGTGGCCTCAGCTGCAGTGAGAAGGGCAGTGGGAAGTGCACTACGATATGTTAGGACGTGTATTAAGGATTGCGGAAATCTGCATCGTTGGCTGTAAAGGGACATAAAGTAGGACTTGTCTGGGGTGTTATTGTAGTAGCTGCGGTAGGAACTTTAGTAGAGTCGGGGCTGTAGAAAGAGCTGTACGACGAACGGTAATAGGAATTATAGTAGACAGCTGTAGTCACAGTTGTAGAAGGTCACACTACCGGGGAAAAGCCCCACTCAAAGTCTTTTTAGGGCTCTAGGGCTATGGGGCTATTGGGCTATAGGGCCATGGAACTATAGAGCTATAGGGCCATAGGGCTATAGGTCTATAGGTCTATAGGGCTATAGGGCTATAGGGCCATAGGGCCATAGGGCTATAGGGCTGCAGGGCTATAAAGCTATGGGGCTGTGTGGCTCTGGGGCTATGGGGCTATGGGGCTACAGGGCTCTGGGGCTACGGGGCTATAGGGCCATAGGGCTATAGGGCCATAGGGCTATCAGTCTACAGGGCTATGGGGCTATAGGGCTATAGGACCATAGGGCTATAGGGCTATAGGGATATATAGAGCTATGGAGCTATCGGGCTATAGGGCTATAGGCATGTAGAGCTATAGGGCTACAGGGCTATAGGGCTATAACCCTATAGAGCTCTAGGGCCATAGGGCTATAGGGCTATAAGGCTATAAGGCAATAGGGCTATTAGGGCTATTGGGCTACAGGGCTATGGGCTACACGGGCATAGGGCTATAGGGCTATAGGGCTCTAGGGCTATAGGGGTCTACCAGGGCTATAAGGCACCCGGGCACCTGGGCACTGGGGCACCCAGGCACCCGGGCACCTGGGCGGGCCGCGGAAATCGGCGGCAAAGCTCACCTAACCAAATGAATCCGCTAGTATTCCTACAGAGGCAAGCTCTGATTGGGGAATTAATGCCTGAAGTAGGAGTTTCTTGAGAAGTTGTTACAAGAGCTATGTAGGGGGCCGAAGTAGGCGAAAGTTGTGCTACTGACTACGTTCGCATTCGGATTGGGATCCGTATCATCAAGATTAACCAAACAAGTTATCTTGTTGGTTGTTGTCGGAATTGTAGCAAGAGCTGCATAATGCGGCGTGGCCGGGGCTGCCGTATGAGCTGTCGTAGAAGCTTCGAGCAGCGGCTGGCAGCGAAAAAGCCTTGCAGTGATTCGACTAGGAGATGTAGTTGGAGTAGGTGCAGGAGCTGCAGTAAGAGCTGCAGTGGATGAGAACAAAAGAGCCTGACGAGGGATATGGTGAGACGGGCAGAAGGACGAGGAAGACGACGAGGAATGTCAGGCGGAGGATGGGGAAGAGGAGGAATAAGAGAGGAAGGGGACTGTGGAGGATGAATAGGAATGGATTAAGGACGAGAAGGAGGAGGAGGAGGGCGAGAATAATCGTCCTCCTCCTTCTCCTGTTTGTCTTTCTCCTGGTCCTCTTTATTGTGAATGTTGAAGACCGCCAATCACGTCTGTTTATGTGTCTTAGGTTTCGTTTGAACTACAAGCAAACCCTACCATGAACAGCTGTCCCCCGCATGTCCACATCGCATCCCTTCTCAATATCGCTTCCTATGCGAAACACCACTATGCACGGATGCTTGGTTCGGTGATCATCTACGGAAGACGAGGGGAAAAGCATGAGGAGGAGGAGGAGGAGGCGAGTCGTGCGCATCCTGAAGACAAAGCATGTTAACATGTGTTACATGGATTGGTGGTCGCCCGAACCAAAACAATTGTACAGAAGTGTTTGGTGGCCCGCAGGCTTCGCAAGAAGAGGAGGACGAGGAATATCATGTGAACTGGAGGACCCCCAAACATGTAAAGAAGCTGTTAGTGGTAATCGGAAAACTGCGAGTAACAGTGTTTGGTGGCATTCCCACTTCGCCAGAGGAGGGAGCCAGCACGATCTGTTCTCCTCTCCAGAGCGGGAGGAGGCAAGGGAGGCTGGAAATGAGGAGAGGAGAAGAAGGCACAGCCACGATGCAGAAGAAGAGGCGGCGGCCGAAGAAGCAGCGGAGGAGGAGGACAGAGAAGAGAATACAGAGAGCAAAGAGAGAGAGAGAGAGAGAGCGAGGGAAACAAGCAGCAACAATTACAGCCATGTTAATCATGCTCGCTCTTACATGCTCGCGTGCCACTCAACACGTATATCCTCAAGCCTCGATATCCGCCTTTTTCATCTCAGATCGTACCCCCATTGGGGTATGTCTTACAGCAACAAGAACAACGACGACGACGACAACGACGCAGATTCCCTCCCCCCGTCCCCCTGCTCGTCCGACTCTCTGCGCATGCCGCCCCCGTGTGGCCAATTGCTGACATCGCTACGCAGGCACAAACTCGCTGCACTGATCATGGCTTCGTGCACGGCCTGGACATGCTCAGGGGAGCCACGCTCATGGCACGTCGTCGAGGCGGTGCCTTCTCAAAGTAAAGGCCAGTCGAGACACACGGGCCCGCATTTGCCATAATGTCCGTCGCCGTTGGGGATCAGCATGTAGGCAAGTGTATTAACACCGCTCCTTCGAAAAATAAGTGGGTCGTTTCGCGGGTGCTCCACGTTTGCTGACTAGTTCGTGGAGTTCGGCCACTGTGACTGAAGGGTCGTGATGTTCGTCCTTCTCGGGAGTTTCGGTATCAGCGGTGCGGTGTTGATGTTCGCATCTGATCTCATATTGTATCTACCACAAGATCCTGCCACGTGGACAAGTCGCGTGTACTACAGTGGTATCGACCCGACGGCTGGCACTGGCTTGCTTCGGTCCCCGATGCGTGGCATTCCTGATGGGCGCCTCATGCTTGGAGGCGTGCTGGGGCCGATCTCTGCGCTGCTGTATTCGATTGGTTTTCTGCAGGTTGTCCAGACACGCTGTCGCGCGTAATATCCGCCACCGCGCTGCAGGAAGTTGCGCAGCCATGGCGCTGAACAGTCGTCGCGAAGCCTCCTGGGATGCACTCTCTGGGCCTTCGGGAAGGCGTCCTCTTGGGGCCCCTCAGGGGCCTCCAGGTCGCCTTTCCGGTGTATTTAGGCTGTCTTGAGCAAGTCGCCCTGACTTCCGCCGATCTGATTTTTTCAATCTGCGGCCTCAGAGGTCCCCTCCGAGTCCCCAGAGGTGGTTTTTGGTCCCGGATGCATTCATGTTCGATGGCCCCAGGGCCCGTGGACGGCACCCGAGGGCGGAAGGAAATCGAGGCAAAACCGCCGCTTGGAAAAATCATGTCGTCGGAGGTCTAAGCTTAGGACCGTGAAAGGGACTGTCTTGGAGTCCTCGGACTTGCTCGGGACCATCTCGGGGGCCCTCTGGGAGGCCTCCCTGGACCGCCATGGCGCCCTCTGGGACTGCGCGGAGGCCGTCAGGATGCCAGCCGGATGCCACCCTCAGCCCTCAGGGCTAGCAGCGCAAACACAGCCGAGCCACGTCGGGATCTCCTGTGTAGACCACGTACGCCGTTGGCCACCCAGGGGCTCGCAGGAGAGCTCCCTGGGGATGCCCCTGGCTGACATCTGGGGGTCTGTCGGGGACCTGTGGTGGGTCGCGGGGCGATCTCTGGGAGCTGCGGTGCCCACAGGGCCTGCCGGCGTCCTGGGGGTCGTGTGCCCCTGCAGGGAGGTGCTGGCAGAGGCTGCTTTGCCAATTGCCCTGGTGCGCATTGGTCCGTCTTGGGCCCAACCAGACGTCCCGCACTCTCGGAGGTGGGAGGAAGAGGAGGAGGAGGTGGAGGAGGAGGAGGAGGGAGAGGAGGAGGAGGAAGAGGAGGAGGAGGAGGAGGAGGAGGTGGGAGGAAGAGGAGGAGGAGGAGGAGGAGGAGGAGGAGGAGGGGGAGGAGGAGGAGGGGGAGGAGGAGGAGGAGGAGGAGGAGGAGTCCGTGAGGGTGCTCCCCGGTGGCCGAGGGACCAGGTGCTCCAAGCGTCAGACTTAGGAAGCCGAGCGATTATTTTCTGAAGTCGGAAACATGGTCATGGCTACATACATACTCGAAGGGAGTGTGTCTTGACATTGGTTTTGTGCGGGGGGCTCGATTCGCCAGACCCCGACGTGTTGATGTGCTTCACAGCTGGGTCCTCTGGGAGTCAGGACCTCCGCCCCAGGACCGGCTTTGCATCCTGAGTCATTTGTTGACCATCTTGAGACCCAGTACGGCCCCCCGGATGCCAAAAGTACCTATCACATCCCGCCTTGTGTTTTACAACGTAACGGGGTCTGAGTCATGTTTCGTAAGAGGCAGCTTGGGGGGCCTGGTCACAGGCTGCGCAGGGAGAAAACTAGATGCTCGCTGAGAAGACTGGCGCGCGGCCTGACGCACGTCTGCCGCTGCAGGCGCGGTGGCGGCTTCTCGGGCTGAATGATGGCGCGTCGTCGCACGTCCTCCCGGCCACTGCAGCTGCTGGCTTCTCGGGCGGCATGATCTGGAAGAGCACAACAAAAACGGCCGGGGCGTAAACCTTCGGAGGATTCCGCGAGGACTTCCTGGCTCGGCGCTGGGCCCCCCTCCCCACACCCCCCTGCCTCGGCGCGCGGAGCGCTCCGGACTGGCGGCGCCCGAGGCGCCGCCCGGGGGCGGTGGGGAGGAGTGCCCATCGGGGGTGGACAGACCTCCTACCCTGACACGTCGATTAAGGAAGTGGCGGTTTTCGGTTCGCGTGAGGGCGTCGCGGCCGTCATGTTTGCGGGTCCAGGTCCGTCGGTTCCGGTCCCAGGCCGTTTTCACTACGGGGAGGTCTACTAAAGTGAGGTTTGTCCACCGCCGAGCCCAGCGTCGACCGAAGAATCCGCGCAGACCTCCGAACGTGCGTGCTCGTGTGGTTTGTTTGTTCTTCCGTGATCGTTGGTGCTGTGTACCACGCGCTCTTCACTTGGACCGGCTTTCTGTCCAAGGCAGCGGCAAGCGTGCCCGGTGGTGAAGCGGCAGTAGTTCGGGGCCTGCTGGATGTGCATCGAAGGTACCTTAGCGTTGTGTTCCGGGTTGCTGGTATGTTCATGTTGGCTGGCGCCACCGTGTTCACATGGTGCATCGTGTCGCGAGCAACCGCTTATCCGCGCTACGTGTTGTTTGTCTTGCCGCCGTGGTCTGCTATAGTGAAGAGGTGCTTGCGGAGACTCGATTGGGGCTCGCCTGGTCTCATTCTTGTGGGTGGATGCACGAACTTATGGAACATCGTGTTCTTCACTGTCGCTACCATGTCCACGATGGACACATAGACGTCCTGGGCCTGCGGGAGCACAGCCGCTGCGGGGCAGGCCGCGTAGTGACCGACGGAGCCGCGTCGGCGGAGGCGGCCCGAGCTCCCCGCGCGGCAGGCGCGGCCTGGCGGGGCGGCGGCCTTCGAGACCACGGGCGCCCGCATTTTTGTTGCCTGCCCCCTCCTCCCTCGCCCTCCTACGGCAGAGGGAAACCATTCGTGGACACTCCCCCCCCCTCTCCCCCAAATTCAAGGGTGGCACGCGCGGCCGGAGGCTGCGGTCGAAGTGCCACTCGTTGAAGCCGCCGCCAACCTTTGGAGCACGGGGGGTGGCACTGACAGACGAATGTGACATAGGTGTTCGCGAATTCCTTCCGAGGCCTGTATCCCTCCTCTCAGTTGTAATTTTAGCCTGCGCTTCCACCGTCACTATTTTCCCCCCCCTCCCCCTTCTCTTCCTCTTGCCTTATGCTTCTTCCTCCTCCTCCTCCTCCTCCTTGGGCAGATGACTTGAGCAGGCACTTCGCTCGAGGCCATCATACTGCCTTCTCTTCCCATCGGAGCCCAGGCTGGTCGCAATTCATGGCGGAGTCTTCTCCCCATTATGTGAGAAGCAGGCACCGTGACCTGATTTGCCCCTTGCGCTCACGGCGGAGCCCTCCTAGACACTCGATTCGATGCTTGCGATATGGCGGTGGATACAAGCTCGCTGCAAGCACCGGCACTTACAGCCAGCGTTTGCTAGGAGTCGACAGCATTAAAAACAACAAAGGTGGAAAGTTACGGGTCACGACTCCAGTTGCAAGCCCCATTCTGTTTCGACCAATTGTGAAGCTAAGGTTTAGAATCCGCTTGCTTCTGAGAAAGATCTAGTGAGATCAATCGGGCTCGGAGGAATTTTTGTGGAACTCGTTTGCATTTGCCGAAGATTTGCGACAGCTCGCAGATGCGAGCCCAACTCAAACGATGGTGGAGCGCCTTGATCGCGCAGGCTTGCTCGCGCTAGCCACCGCGCATGCAAGGACTTGCAGTTTCAGGGCAGCGCGCCTGAGATGGGTTCTCGGGTGCTGCCGTCTCTTTGCCCTCTCTCCACACGCCGCGCGCGAGCCACCGCGCATGCAAGGACATGCAGTTACATGGCAGCGCGCCTGAGATGGGTTCTCGGGTGCTGGCGTCTCGTTACCCTCCCTCCACACGCCGCGCGCGAGCCACCGCGCATGCAAGGGCATGCACTTACATGGCAGTGCGCCTGAAATGGGTTCTCGGGTGCTGTCTCTCCCTCCTCCTCCTCCTCCTCCCTTCCTCCTCGTCCTCCTCCTCCCTTTCCTCCTCCCTTTCCTCCTCCTTCTCCTCCTCCTCCTCCTTCTCCTCCTCCTCCCTTTCCGCCTCCTCCCTTTCCTCCTCCTCCTCCTCCTCCTCCTCCTCCTCCTCCTCCTCTTCCTCCTCCTCCTGCTCCTCCTCCTCCTCCTCCTCGTCCTCCTCCTCCTCCTCATCCCTCTTTCGTCCTGCCCAGCCTCCACGTCCTCCTCCCCCTCACCTTGTTTGTCCTCGTCATTCGCGTGCTCGTAGCCTGGTGCGCTTGTAGCCTCCTGTGAGACCAAGCGCCTGCCGCTGAACACTGTCATGTGCGGCGTCGCCCAGAGCGTGACTGCCTCGTGACCCCTGTTCATGATGAGGGTGACCCCAGTTATCCGCGACCTCGAGCGACACCTGGAGTAGCGAGACAGCGAGGGCACCACCGCCGTTCGTGATGTTGCAGGCGCCGCCGATCGCTGCCAAGACCATGCGGGCGCCAGACCAGTCTGGCCGTGACGGTGCAGCAAACCAGTTGGGCGAGCCAGCAGGTTACCGATGGGCGGTGACTTCGCGCGGATCGCTGGGGGCGCCAGCAGGACGCCAAGGGTCGATGATCTCGCGTGGCGCGATGCGCGATGGAGGGACCGAAAGACCACCAGGAGGTCGGTGACCTCTCGTGGCACGCTGAAGGCACCAGCAGGTCACGGGCGCGGCGGAGGCGATGTAGGCGCTCCGCCCGGGCGCGGGCTTGCGCGCTCGCGCACGGGTGACCGCAACGCGCTGGCGGTCAACGCTGACGGGCGGCGCATGCTCGCCAGAGCCAAGGCGGCGGAGCACTTCGGCAGCCTGGTGCTGAAGGCGGCAGGGTGCGCATGCGTTTCTGTGCGGGGCACCGGCAACGAAGCACGCCCTCAGTGACGGCCAGGAGGCTGCTCGTCCTGGTGCACGCCCCACGATCAGGACCGCACGGCGGCGCTCGGCGGTCTCTTCGGACCCGGCGCGTCAGAGGCCGAGCGGCGATGGCCCAGGCGCCAGCGGTGGTCGGGTGCCGATGGTGCGGCAGGGCGCTGCCGCGCGAGCGCGCGGCCGCAGCTGCGCCAGCGCACCTCCGCGCGCGCAGGGCCCCCCCCGCGCCCAGCTTCTCGGGTCCCGGATTCTTCGGGCTCGCGCCGTCCGCCCGGGGGCGAGCGGCGCCGCGGCAGCGCGCCGCTCCTCGCGGCCTCCGCCGCGAGCCCGCGCCGTCGCGCGGGGTTGGCGCCCGATGGCGGCGCAGGGCCGCCCGAGGACCCCGTCGGCCACCGTCGCGCACCGACGGCCCCCGGTCGCGGGGGCGCTGCGCCTCCCGCGCACGGCCGGGGGCGGCCTCGGAGGGGGCCAGCTCGAGCCGCCCCGGTGTAGTGGGTGGGGGGGGGGGGGGGCGAGAGCCGCCCCAGCGCCCAGATGTCAAGGGCATAAAAAACGCCCCGACCCTGGTTTGCGAGGCGCTGTGCGCTGAAGCTCCTGTGGGCTGATAGGGTAAACCCTGCGTGATGTGCCGCGTCCTGGCGGCTCCAGGCTTTGGGTGTTCCCAGGAGGTTTACAGACCACGCACTTGTAACCCAGGGTAGGGTCGTTTTTTCATCCCTCAAAGATGCCCGCTGCTGCCGCGGGCGGCCAGCGAGGCGGCGAGTCGGCGCGCGCGCGGCGGCACGCGAGCCCTCGCCCGTCCCCGCTGTCGGGCCATCCTGTGATGAAGTCGGGCGTGTCCCTCTACAGGGGGAATATGCATAAATGATCAAAGAGAATGGTCTGGGGACGATGTTCGGACTATGTTTGCCTATGCTTGTGCATGTTGCTGACTATATTTCATTTGTCCTCCAAAATCCGGCTGCGGGAGGGCATGCCCGGCCTAATCCTATGAGCTTCGCTGGCAGCCTCCCCGGCCCCTTACAGACGGGCGTCTCCAGTCGAGGCCCGTGTCCGCAAGTGATCGGAGTTCCCCGAGCCAGCATAGTCGCCGTCGATAAAGTTTCAATCCCCGAGCTGCTGGCAACCGCCCCCCTCCCGGCGTTGGCTGATTTTGCGGGCCAGGACGGGTGGGCGGGTCACCTCGACGAGGTTTCGTGATGTTGATGCGACGGGTCTGTTACGGTGTCCGTGCCAGCTTGCTGCAGCGCGGGGGCGGTGCCTGCCAGTTGTACCTAAGTGCCGCATGCCAGATGCCAGTGTAAGCAAGGGCGCTGTATCCAGTGGCACCTGGCATGTCCCGCCGTCGTGACCTGCTGGAGCCCTCCGAGGGGTCCCTGGCGGGGGCCTCTGAGGGCGTTGGGGGGCGTGCTGGACGAGACGGGGGCTGGGCACCCGGCCCCGAGCGGGCCCTCCGAGCCTGCAACGGCGAATTAGCCTGGCGAAGGACCCAACCATATGCAGTTGTGAATGCCGCAATTGTGCTGGGTGGTGGCGGACGCATGCGGGCGGTGCCACTGGGACCTTCGGTGGAGCTCCCTATGGGGCCACGAAACGCTGTACTGGGTGGGTGAGACGCGGTCAGCAAGGGCTGTGCTGCGTGGTGGCGGACGCATGCGAGCGGTGCCACTGGGACCTTCGGTGGAGCTCCCTATGGGGCCACGAAACGCTGTACTGGGTGGGTGAAACGCAGGCAGGGAGCAAGGGCTGCGCAGGGTGGTGGCGGACGCATGCGGGCGGTGCCGCTGGGACCTTTGGTGGAGCTCCCTATAGGGCTACGAAGCGCTGTTCTGGGTGGGTGAAGCGCAGGGAACAAGGGCTGTGCTGGGTGGTGGCGGACGCAAGCGGGCAGTGCCACTGGGACCTTTGGTGGAGCCCCCTATGGGGCCACGAAACGTGCGAGGGGTGTGCCAGAATGGGGTGTGGAACCGCATGCCAGCGCAGCCACTGGGGCCTTCGGTGGAGCTCCCTATGGAGCCACGAAACGTGTGAGGGGTGTGCCGAAATGGGGGGTGGAACCGCATGCGAGCGCAGCCACTGCGGCGTTCGGTGGAGCTCCCTATGGGGCCACGAGACGTGTGAAGGGCGTGCCGAAAAAGGGGTGGAACCGCATGCGAGCGCAGCCACTGGGGCCTTCGGTGGAGCTCTCTATGGGGCCACGAACCGTGTGAGGGGTGTGCCGAAATGGGGGGGGAAACCACATGCGAGCGCAGCCACTGGGGCGTTCGGTGGAGCTCCCCATGGAGCCACCCACGAAGCGTGTGAGGGGTGTGCCGAATGGGGGGTGGAACCGCATGCGGGCGCAGCCACTGGGGCCTTCGGTGGAGCTCCCTATGGGGCCACGAAGCGTGTGAGGGGTGTGCCAGAATGGGGAGTGGAACCGCATGCGGGCGCAGCCACTGGGGCCTTCGGTGGAGCTCCCTATGGGGCCACGAAACGTGTGAGGGGTGTGCCAGAATGGGGGGTGGAACCGCATGCGGGCGCAGCCACTGGGGCCTTCGGTGGAGCTCCCTATGGGGCCACGAAACGTGTGAGGGGTGTGCCAGAATGGGGGGTGGAACCGCATGCGGGCGCAGCCACTGGGGCCTTCGGTGGAGCTCCCTATGGGGCCACGAAACGTGTGAGGGGTGTGCCAGAATGGGGGGTGGAACCGCATGCGGGCGCAGCCACTGGGGCCTTCGGTGGAGCTCCCTATGGGGCCACGAAACGTGTGAGGGGTGTGCCAGAATGGGGGGTGGAACCGCATGCGGGCGCAGCCACTGGGGCCTTCGGTGGAGCTCCCTATGGGGCCACGAAACGTGTGAGGGGTGTGCCAGAATGGGGGGTGGAACCGCATGCGGGCGCAGCCACTGGGGCCTTCGGTGGAGCTCCCTATGGGGCCACGAAACGTGTGAGGGGTGTGCCAGAATGGGGGGTGGAACCGC